GGACCTGGGCTCCTTCTGTCTTACAGCTCTGCCCTCTTCTAGGACCTCAGAGAACTCTCCAGTTAGCCAGTAGATAGGAAAAGGTAATCAAGGGTTGTTCATGGGAGGGTTTATGGGCCAAACATGGAATCTGTATCCATTACTTCTACCCACTCTGGGTATTCCATTGGCCAGAATCCAGTCACATGGCTGCCCCCATCTGCAAGGGAGGCTGGGAAGTATAGCCCAGTGCTTTCCCAGGAGGAAGAGGTAAAAAATTTGTGAACAGCTACAAGTCTCTGTCACAAGCCTCATTTGTATGTGTATCTGTGTGTTTCTGCCTTCTGAAGAAAAAGTAAAAGGAATGTCTGTGCTTTTGCCAAAGAGCCCCTAAACCTTCTTGACTATTTCACTCCTCAGTTTTCTCAAACCCTGAGTTGACAGCAGCACTGGCTATGGTTTGTTCAGGCTCTTAAGACTAGAAGGAAAATACGTTTCAGGGAAAACATGGACTATTTTCCTGGTACTGAGGGAAGTCTAATCAGCCACCATTGTTTTTATTTATTTCTTATTGAGGTAACATTGGTTTATAACATAATTTTCAGGTGTACAACACTGTATTCTACTTCTATGTACCCTACAGTGTACTTACCACCAAAAATTTAGTTTCCATCCATCACCAAACAGTTGATCCCCTTTACTGATTTCCCCCCCTTCCTCCGTACCTGTTCTTCTGGTAACCACTACTCTATTCTCTGTATCCGCGTTTTTTGTTTGTTTGTTTGTTTAGATTCCACCTATAAGTGAAATCATACAGTATTTGTCTTTCTCCATCTGACTTATTTCACTAAGCATAATACTCTCTAGGTTCATCCATGTTGTTGCAAATCAGCCCACATTATTTTTAAGTAAGCTTTTTATTGAAATTTGACGTAATATAAAAAATGACAGAAAAACCCATAAGTAATCAGCTCAATGGATTTTCACAGGGTCAATACAGCCATATGACTATCACCCAGATCAAGAAATAAAACATGAACATGACCACTATCTCAGAAGCTAACAAGTAAGGGTTCGGGGGGATTTCTTAGTGATGAAGGAATTCTAGGGGCACTAAGTTTGGGCTATGACACCTCCTCCTTTAAATGTAAGCTCCAAAGTTGAGGAGAAGATGAAGCAGCCTGGGTTCTGCCCCTACCCCCTTGATTCTAGCCATCTAAATTACCTTTTGCAGGTCACTTCCTCTCTCACAATCTCTTTCTCTATGCATACAACGCAAGGCTTAACTAGCAAGCCATGAAGGTCTCTCAAGCTGGAACAATGAGGTTTTAGGACTTGCCAAAAATCCCAAGGGATGGGGTATGATGGGGGAAATGCATGATGGACCTGGAAAGAATCCCTGGAGTAGAGAGATGCCCTACAAGCTGTCCCCAGGCCTGCTGGAAGCCCCTCCACTGAATTCTCCAGACTGGCGTCCTGGGAGCTGGTCACCACTGCTCTGTTACAAGCAGTGTCCACCCAGCTGGTATTCAATCTTTTTGCCTTAATCCAGCTGTGTGTGTGCTGTGAGGGGCTGCCAGACCTTGGAGGGTCAGGGAGGTGTACACATAGCCAGGGGCTAAGGATTTCAGAATACAGACTTAGACAGACTTGGGTGTCAAGTCTGACTTTACCACAGACTAACTGTGTGACCTCGGATGAGGCATTTAACCTCCCTGAGACTCAATCTCCTTATCTATGAAATTCAAAGGAGACAGTCACCTACCTCAAAAGTTCTTGTACAGATGAAACGAGCTAATCTTTGTAAATATGCTTGGCATCATGCCTGGCATCTACGTGCTAGCATTAGTTGTGAGAACTGCCCTTCCATGCTAACCCTTCAACAAGGGTGCTGTAAATCTCCCCAGGCTGCAATGGCAGGGAGTGAGGAACCTGTAGCCTGGAACAGAGATCTAGGAGGATATAGGTTTGCTCTGCAGCTAAGTCCAGACTAGTCACATTTACTTTCTCTTAACCACTTCCTCTGAACGCTCTCTCCACTGATACTTAAACAATTCATTTCTCATGACTGCCAGAGTAATTTTATCCGTAATAGTCTCCTGGCAATTTAATCTGAGATCTATAATAACCACCAATGTAATTATAATTAATAGGAATGCTTAGAATATGTAGAGTGCTTTTTCTCCTATATTCCCCAGAAAGCAGTGGGTAAGAACAGGCTTCATAGTCCTGCAATTTTAGGCTTAAGTAATGGCTCCACTACCTACTAGCTGTGTGACCTTGTACAACTGGCTTAACCTCTCTGGACACAACTGAAAAATGAGGAGGTGAGGCACCCTTATTCTCAATTCAACCCTCCTTCCTTGGAGAGCCTGGAAAGCTCCCCAGATACCCTTGCAACTAGAGTTCTGGATGGGAAGTAAGTCCCACTAGCTGGTGGTTCTCATGGGGGGTTTGGAGCTGAGGGAGGCCTTTTCCTCCTGCTGAGGCAAGCTTGGCTGTTGTGAGTTTAGAGGTGTTCAAGAAAGAGGGTCACCAGCTTCAGGCTGGGAGAGGTCATGTGACAGTAGCCATGGTGGCAGCTATAGCAGCTTCCTGATGTGTCAGCCATGTAATGGGTCCTTATAAACAGCAGCTTATTATCACCCCTTTGCACAGGCAGCTCCTACCACAATCTGGTTGGCATTTGATTCCCAATACAAAAATCCCCTTTTGCTCGAAATACCTAGAATAACCTGTTTCTTACACTGAACCTGGGATGATGATACTGTTTAGCTGTTAAAATCTGGGGGAAATCAGTTCTGTAAATTGCATCTTGCTGCCCACTGGTGTTAGAAGGATTCCCCGCCCTCTCCCCACTTCTTTTTCCAAGCAGTCAGCAGGCATCTATAACAAGAGGAAAAGGATCCTTGGCTAATGTCGCTTTCCCCTTACGTTCTTGCCAACAATTCATGTTGCCTTAAGAGATCAGGCCTTTTTATCGCTTGCCTCATTGCCCTGCTGTCTGCACCAAAGTTATGTCTTGGCTGGCTGGGCATGTCCTTCTGATGGAGTCCAGGCCTGCTGCACAGAGAGCAAGGGGGTTATTTGATCTCCTGACTGTGGCTCTTACAAGTCCCATTGAGAGTGTGCTTACCCACAGAGCTCTGCTATGCTAATTGGTCCAGTGTAGCCCAAGAAGCAGAATTCCACCTAAAGCAGTGAGTGTTTTTTCTGGCAGGATGTGGCATTTGTGAGAGGGCAGCCTCTATGGGGCTCGGGGGTCAGCACTTCCCAGACACTCAGAACCCTCACTGGGCAGCAGCTTCTCAATGAGGGTGATGGGAGGGGGTGCGGTATTGAGGGGCATCCCCTGACTCCGGAGAGATTTTCACACAGCCTGGACTAAAGTCCTAGAAAACAAGAAAACCTCTCTGATCGGATATGTCTCAAGATGGATCCAGAGCCTGATATCTTGCCCACTGAGCACTGTTGCACAGACACTGCTGGTGGGAACGCAGAGGAGTTAGCCTCTCCACCCATGACTCACATGTTTTTCTTTATTAAAAAGCTGGATGGCGCTTTTCCCACTGTTCATTCTCATTACAGCTCTTCCTAAAGGCACAGTTATCCTACAAAGTCAACACATGAAATCACCAGACCCTGGAGAGAGGCTCAGACGCAATCCCTTCCACTGCTACGAGCTTCATGAGAGTGGGGGACTTCAGGTTTCCACGGCTCCATCGTCACTAATCCTGCACCTCTGCCCCCAGCTCAGTCACTATCTGTGCAGTCTTCTTAGGTCTCAACCCGCCCTCCCAACTCCCAAACTCTTCAACTTGCTTCAGGGCTATAAGGTGCTCTTGATGGGCCACTGAATTCAGCACTAGGAACCAGTGTTTGTTTAAAACAACAAAAAAGAAAAAAATTCTTTTTCTTTGAAAAATGACAAAAATCCCCTTCCCTTTACCTGAGTCCTATCTCTCTGTTGAAAGTTCTGTCTTCTTTTTATTTTTTATTTAATTTAATTTAATTAATTTATTTATTTATTTTGCGGTACGCGGGCCTCTCACTGTTGCGGCCTCTCCCATTGCGGAGCACGGGCTCCGGACGCGCAGGCTTAGTGGCCACGGCTAACGGCCCCAGCCGCTCCGCGGCATGTGGGATCTTCCCGGACCAGGGCACGAACCCGTGTCCCCTGCATCGGCAGGCGGACTCTCAACCACTGCGCCACCAGGGAAGCCCCTGTCTCCTTTTTAAACAGTACAGTTCTCCAGCTTCAGTATGCATGAGAATTACCAGAAGAAAACCACATGAGATACCAATTCACATCTACTAGGATGGTATAATAAAAATAAAAAAAAAAAGGAAAATAACAAGTGTTGTTGAGAATGGGAATGGAACACTCATGCATGGGAATGTAAAATGGAGCAGCTGGTGGAAAACACTTCGGCATTCCTCAGAAAGTTCAACATAAAATTATCTTATGACCCAGCAATTCCACTACTAAGTATATACACCAAAAATTGAAAACAGGGACTTGAACAGATACTCAAAGACCAATTATAACAGCAGCATTATTCACAAAAGCCAAAAGGTGGAGTGTCTGTCAATCAATAGGAGAATGAGTGGGTAAACAACATGTGATATATCCATGCAATGGAATATTAGTCAGCCATAAAAATGAAGTTACGGTACATGCTACAACATGGATGAAACCGGAAGATATTTACTCTAAGTGAAACAAGCCAAACACGGACACATATTGTATGATTTCACTTACATGAACTACCTAGATTAGGCTAATTCATAGAGACAGGGAGTGGATTAGAGGTTACCAGAAGCTGGCGGAAATGGGGAATTATTGCTTAATGGGTACAGAGCTTCCGTTTGGGGGTGATAGAAAAATTCTGGAAACAGATAGTGGTGATGATTGCTTGTGATGTTGTGTTGATGTGATTAATGCCTGCCACTTTATTATACATTTAAAAATTATTTTGTTATATATATTTTACCACAGTTAAAAAAAAAAAAAGAATTACCTGAAGAGCTTGCTGAGATACAGATTCCTGAAATCCACTCCCAGAATTGACTCAATAAGTCCAGGTTGGGCCCCAAGATGTGCCTTCTTAACCGCGTCCTCTCTTCCGAGAACCTTAACCGCATCTTGTATCTTTGCCGTAAACTCTTTCCCGCAAGCAGTTTTACCGCACCGCTTGGCCGTAAGGCACCTCTGCCGTAAAAGATAAAGTAACTAGGTGACGGTTTGGTTTCAAGGCCATAAGATAGTATAAAAGAGGCAGCTAGTGATTCACAGCACTCTTCGAGAGCATTAATTGTCAATTCTTTGGCTAATTTAGATCCAAATTGTTCTCTAATGCCATCTTTACCAAATTTATCATTGCAGTATTAGAAGTTGGAGGCAAAAGAAGAATCAGCACTTCCTATCCCCCCCTCCCTCGGCCAAATAAATGGTTACATGATTCCTGATGAGTATAAGTTTCTTGAAAACGGTGAAAAAAATTTTGCAATTTGATAGTGGGTAACGTGATGGAGACAGAATTTTGGTATTTGGCACAGAATTTGGCTTAGATGATTTGGTGAAATTTTAAAACTGGCCATGTGATGGAGCATTTAAATGTAGTCCAGATGTGTACTACCAGTTATATGGGCTACATGTATTGGTAAGAAATATCAGCTTTACTTCCAGGGAAATCTGAAGAGACTTACAGCAGAGTTTTCTTTAGTATTGTAAAGAACTCACATACACCTGACATTAGATCCTAAACCCTTAATGATCGACTTTGAGAAAGGACAATCTCTAAGATATATCCAGATACAACTGTAATCATGAATCTACACACATGTTTTTTTTTTCGGTACGCGGGCCTCTCACTGCTGTGGCCTCTCCCGTTGCAGAGCACAGGCTCCGGACGCGCAGGCCCAGCAGCCATGGCTCACGGGCCCAGCTGCTCCACGGCATGTGAGATCTTCCCGGACTGGGGCACGAACCCGTGTCCCCTGCATCGGCAGGCGGACTCTCAACCACTGCGCCACCAGGGAAGCCCTCTACACACATTTTAAATGTATTCAAATAGTTTCTGTATTTTCATTTTCCACAATAAATTTTTAAAATTTTGTTATTAATTTTCATGTTTCATTATGTCCTTTTTAATGTCCTCTTTTATTTTCACTATTTTATCTTTTATGTTATTTCAATTGGTCTTATGGCCAATTTGTTGTGCGACGAAACAGCCAGCAGCAAAGATTTTTAGGAATTCTTAGGTGAAAGAAGACAGCATGACCAACTACAGGAGGGGATTGGAACCCAAATCACCCCCTGCTCCTGGCTTTTGCCAGACCGAGCAGAAGAGTCTGTCTGGGGAAGTGCAGGCTGGAGAAGGATGCAAGACAAGGCTCTAAGTGCTTGTATGACACCTTTAAGCATGGACTTTTTCTAGGCAGTAGGGAATACCAGAATATTTTGCAGTGTTGTTTGCAGTGTTGTCAGATTTGCAGTGTTGTTTTTTTTTTTAATGTATGAAAAATTTTGTAAAAAGTGGAGAGAATAGTATTATGAACTTCCCATACTGAAACTGAACATTTTTTTACACAACTACAGTGCCATTATCACATCTCACATAGTTTCTTAATATCTGATACCAAGTTCATATTCAAATTTCCAAGATTGTCCCCAAAATATTTTTGTTTTAAGGTTGATTTGTGTGAATCAGGATTCAAATCAAGTCTACCATATTGCATTTGTGATTTTGTTTCAGAAAGATCACCAAAGAAGGTGAACTGTGGAAGGCTCAAGTGTCCTGGCTTGGGAGAAAGGCCAAGCTGCCTTGTTTTGGTTGAAAATATAGGTCTGGAGTTCAGGAGAGCAGGCGGGGCTGGGATCATCTCTGTGTTTGTGGGTGAGAAAGGGTGGGGTCCAAGCCCTGGGGAGCACCAGCCCTAAGGAGTGGCAGGTGCGAGAGTCTTAGGCAATCTTCTAAGAGAGATGGGGGAGGGGTGCCTGTGGCCAATGTGTCTGAGGGTCAGGTGGCCCAGCACTGAAAAACAACTTTGATGTTTGGTTCAAGGGGGGCCTGTAGTAACTCTGAGGATAGTCTCAGTGGAATGGTGGGGGTGGGAGTCCTTCTGTGGTGCCCAGAGCAGTGGGTGGAGAGAAGGATGAGGGATGTGGACACCTCTTTCAGGAAGCTCTGCTGACAAAGCATGAGAAAATGGGCCACAGTGAGAGAGGGAGTCTTGGGCAAAGAAGATATCTTTAGGAATGGAAGGTCCATGAGTCTCTAAAGTTTGAGGCCAGAGCTTGTCACTAGAGAAGGAAGGATCGGGATGGTGTGGGTAAACAGAAACCACTTTCTGAAAGACAGACTAGCAATACATATCAAGCTCTTCAAAGTGGCCATAACATGGAGCTTGCCCACAGAAACTGATACAAAGGACATAATCAGAGGTGCACAGCATGATTTATCTAGGAAGTTTGCTGTTGCCTTATTAATAACATTAATTATTATTATTATTAATTATTTACAGGGAGTCTCAGCCTCAGCACTGTTGACGTTTGAGGTCAAATAATTCTTTGCTATAGGGGCTGTCCTCTCTAACAGCATCCCTGACCTACTAGATGCCAGCAGCCACTACGCCTCCCAAGTTGTGACAACCGAAAGTGTCTTCACACATTGCAAAATGCTCCCTGAGGAGGGGCAAAATCAACTGAGGTTGAGAACCACTAGGTTAAAGCATGGTATGTCCCTATGGTGGCATGTTACAGTGTCATAAGGATAGTTTTCAAGAGGCATTAAGGACGTGTGCACAAATCTTTACAATATCATATTGAGACAACAAAAGTCACACAGGCACTTTTAAGTTCAAAAATATGACTAAATGTATAAAATACACACACATCATACATGGCAAAAGGTGGGAAGGAAATAGACTAAAAAATAAAAAGAGGTAACTTAGGATGGTAGGATGAGGGATCTGTTTCCAAGTTTCTACATTAAAAAAACCATTTTCTACACTGAGCATGAATGTTTTATATTTGTTTTTAACACGGTGTTGCCAAGGACCTGGAAATTGATTTTAAGGAAATTTATTGTGAACTATAACAAAAGACACAGAAAAGTGCCGGAATCATGAGTGTACAGCTCAGTGGATTGTCGCTGAGTGAACATACCGGTGTAACCAGTCCCCAGATCAAGAAACAGGACATCCATCAGCAGCCCTTCGGAAGTTCCCCTGTCTTCCCTTCCAGTCACTACCACCCTCAAGGATGACCTGCTTCTGAGTTAAACACCACAGATTACATTTCCTATTTTAAAACCTTATACAAATGGAATCATGCAGTGTGAACTCTTTTTCTGTCTAGTTGCTTTTGCTCAACGTTGTTGATGCGATTCACCCACATTATGGTGTGTAGTCGTAGTATATTATAATAAGCATATATAGTTTTTAAATCATAAAACTATTTTTAAAAATATGGCGGATGGCAGCTGTCAAAAACCTGGATGTTTTCCACTTCCCAATGAGGGCTCTACAGTGCTTCTGCTAGGGAGTTGGTTATGGCCTCCTGCTCCCAGCCCTCTGTCCTGAAGTTTCTGTCTCCCAGTTGCTTCTCCAGGCCTCGGATGGATCTGTGCCAATCTCACCATCCCTTGGCTCACCTGCCATCACCAATGACACATATTAGTGTTTGAACCCCTCAAAGAAGAAACCAGTCAGACAGGGTGGGAAGGGGGCATGTGCATCTTGCACAAGGCTGAACGAGACCGGAAGTGGGGATGTGGGTGTCTAGGATGGGGTCAAGTCCTCCTGAAGGGCGAGTCTTCACCTCCGTTCCTATGGTGACCATGGCTGACATGCCACTGACAGAAAATCAGAAGTTTCCTGGCAAAAGCAGCCTCATCTGGCCTCCTGGCTTGTCACATTCCTCAGCATAAAGCACCTCATGGACATTCTGTTATTTCTCACACCAACCTTATAAAGGTGGGGCTATCATGATTTCCCATTTTATCACCATGAGACTGAAACTGAGAGAATTTAGCTTGTGTAAGAGCACAATCTGGGCTTTGAGCCCAGGTCTGTTGTGAACCCCAGGATCACCCCCACAAGGCCGCTTCCCTGTCCTTTTCATGGCTGGCTGAGATGGGAAGATGGGAGTCACGACTCAGTCTTCAGTGATGGACTCAGTCTGGTGGCCTGGTCCCAGCCAGCTGTATGGTCAGGCAAGCCACTGTCTCTGACGATGATTTGGTTGGTTTAACCATACAACAGGTAGCTCAATATCTCTTTTCTTGTTCCAAGCCCTGCCTCCTCCAGCCGGTAGGAATCTCTGGAAAAATATTCTGGAAAAATGGAGGCATTTTTACAACTCTCTCCTCACCTAAACCTGCTGGGCCAGGACAGAGCACAGAGCCTTGGGCCCTGACCATTATCCTACACTTTGGATCCGGGCTGCCCCAGGCTTTGATGTTGTCTTGGTAAATGTCCCTGAATCACCGGTGGGATCTGATCTCTCCAGCACCTAATAATTCAAACAGCCTGGGGCAGTGAGCAGCTAATCAGCTGGGCAGCCCTTGCAGCTGCACAATGAGGTGGAGGGAAAAGGGAGTGCTTTCATTCTTAGGGTCTCATTCCATGACCTGATGGCCAAGGCAGACACCCCTGTCCGCTAGCCCAGGGGTGAGGTTAATTCCCGCAAGGACCCGGGCGGGGATCTGCCTGGCCGTGGTGGCGGTTACATGGTTTGAATCATGGCTGTCCTGGCCAGGCCATCGGGTGGGAATTAAAATTTAATTTAGAGAGTCCTGTCTCTGCGGCCCTGGTGGCCGTCGTCTGGGTGACTGACTGGCTGGTTTCTTTCACCTTTGCACGCCTTGGGTTTTTACTGGCGGAGGAAATGAAGGCTGAACTGGGGCAGGAAAGTCCATGTACACAGGTGTTTCTGGTTAGCCCCATGCACCTCGCCCAGGGGCACAACTGGGGGCCAGAGATGCCTGTGTGAGCCTGGCGCCTCTGTGGCCCGGCAGCTGCGACAGCTTTGCATCTAGAGAAGACTGGGCAGGCGCTCAGGCTGCCGCAGGGCAGAGAGAGGTACCCGCGAATGGTCCCCTGCCAGGTCCTGGGAGCCCAATGACCGCCTGCCAGTGATGTGAGATCATACAGGCAACTGGGTGAGAGCCACCCAGGCCTCTGTGCCTGCAGTGGGCGGCTGGTGGC